TTTGGCGTGTGGGGGGGGGCCAACTATTTCTCTTTCAACCCCCTGTAGAGGTCTAAGGGTTGCGGTGCAAAATTTAATATTTTTGGTGCAAAATGGTGCAAAACTCGGAGAACAATTTCTGTTATTTTAAATTGAAATTTGGCGTGTGGGGGGGGGTCAACTATTTCTCTTTCAACCCCCTGTAGAGGTCTAAGGGTTGCGGTGCAAAATTTAATATTTATGGTGCAAAATGGTGCAAAACTCGGAGAACAATTTATGCTATCATAAATTGAAATTCGGCGTGTGGGGGGGGCCATGGTTAATTTGGCCCCCCCCAGTAATACTTCTATATAATCTCTCGCCGGAGAAGGTGCAAAATTTTTTTCGGGTGGTGCAAAACGGCGCAAAATGGGTGCAAAAAAATGGTATAAGTTTTAATGGATTTGGAAATATGGGGGGGGCTAACTTAACTGACCCCCCATATGGAAGAATGTTTTACATTTTTTACAACATTATCTAATTGATAAAATTTACTTATTCTTGTTTACAGGCTCTAGCAGTGTTGGGGGAAATATCGGCACGTCTTCGTATTTTAAATGAAGAGGCCATTGTGCTTGGGGCGGTGGTGAGGTCGGCGGTGGAGTCTATGTCCAGGGCACACCGGACTCCTGCCCAAAATAAGGCCCTATCTGCCGCCTACACCACGGTGGTGAGGAACCATTTGGGCCTCTTCAGTTTAATTTATAATGAAGAGGCCCAAATGATTCATCGCCTCCTGGTGGAGGTGGCCGATGAGCAGGAGCTCCAGGAGCCCCAGGTGCACCACACCCCGCCGGACTCACCACCACCACCACCAGCCAAAAGGACGAGGGTACGGGCCGATCAATTGGCTATGATGGAGGCAGCAAGGTGGAAGGAGGGTTGGAAGTGACTGAAAAAAAAAAATCAAATAAATATTACTCAATTTTAAATTCAACCTTTTGTGGACTTTTTATTGTTTTTTTTTTTTTTTTTATTTATGACATACTTACATATTATTTTTTATCTCTGTCTGTGTGTAGCACTAGTGTAGCATAGTGTGTATTTTTTCAATTGTATATTTCCGTATTCTTTTATATTTTACCTATTTATTTATTTATCTTAATTTGACTAAATAATAGCTATTTATATAACAAGTACATAAAGTGAGGCTTTATTGTACGAATAATTTTATGGCCGAGCGAGCTTGCGAGTCAATAAAGCCTCACTTTATGTAAGCGTCATATACATGATTTTATATACGATTATGACTGGTTTTTGTTAAAAATTAGAAAAATTTAAGGTTTAAAGTCAACCCCTATTTTCTGAACCTTGTGTTCAAAAATTCCAAAAAAAAATATATGTTTTATGGTTATCGCAATAAAGTAGCACTTTATTTTACTAGTAAAATAAAGTACTACTTTATTGACGCAAAAACTGTTCTATAAATAGCACTTTATTGGTCAATCGGACATAAAGGTTTTTTTTTTTTTGTTGTGTCCCTTATAGTGTTTGAAACCTATGTCAAGAAATGTTGTGTTAAATGAATGTATTTATTATTTTTGTAAATTATTGCCTACGGTAATTTTAATTTGATTGATATTATGGCTTGCTGGCTTATCTAGGTTTAGTTGTAAAATTTAATTTAAGTTACGTTAGCTTTGTCAATAAGATGTTTTGTATTCTTGGACATTAAAGCATATTTACTACTAAATAAATAAATAAATAAATGTTTATTGACGGACTTGCCATTTTCAAATGAGTACATAGTTCAAATTGATAAATCCATGGTGCACCCTGTCAAAGGCCTTGGAAAAATCAGTGTAAATTGAATCAACCTGACCTGACATCTCTCCTCCAATGCTTCCGACAGAGCCTCACCATAGACTAGCAAATTAGTCAAGATGAGATTCCCCAAGTTTTCAATGTTTGAAGTGGGACACCCATCAAATATATTATTTTTGAAGAATTTAGGAAAAAAGGTTGATGAAAAAAGCTTGGAAAGATTTCTGGGGTAATTTTGAGATTGGTTCTTTCACTATTAGGATTATGAATGGCAAAATGAAAGGACAGGCCTTCATAAACATTTCAAAGTAAGGATTTTACAAATCTCTTGAACAGAAATATAGGCGTTTTAAATTATTTTAGATCAAGTTCAAGCTACACAAGGATTAGAAGCTCTGAATGGTGTTTTTATTGATGGAAAACCAATTATAGCTCAGTTTGGAAAAGTCCAAGAATTTTCATAATCTTGTATTATTATCCTTATTACTGTACTTTCAATAAAATCATTTTTTCCCTTGGGCTGATTTTTTTTTATTCGTTCCATAATTTGAAAGTTATAGTTATTTAAAAAATAGAAATTTTTCGCTTAAATGAATGTTACAATTTAAGAAAACCAAAATTTTAATAACAAAATTCAATTCAAATAAAAAATGATGAGAGTTCCAAATTTAAATAATATTTTTTTTTCTAAGCATGGCATCAGATTACATAATGTTAAACTAGGAAAATATTTCTGACTAATCTAATAACGCACCTTATATCTAAATAATGTATGTGTACAATAATAATTATTATGCTCTGTTCAAATGAAAAACAAAACAAATCCGGTAGTTCCTTTGGAAACTACATTAGTAAAAAAGTTCAACAAATCCTATTGGTAGCTCATTATGGGCATTTTCAACTTTTGGGGTAGGTACTCATGAATCTAAAATAATTAATAGTTTTTAAATTATAAAAGAAATACAAAAAAATACCTATGACCCTCTCAATCTCCACTGCATAATATTTGCAACACTAGCCATACTTCCACTAACATAGGCCGAGCTGCTCAGAGTCGAAGATAAATCCTGAAAGCTGAATTGTGGGAAATATTGAGGTTCCTCTTCGATGGAGCCCAAAGGGTCCTGTGCTATCTGGAGGTGTTAGTTCCACACTTTCATCAGTAAACTCTTGATCAAAATACCCTAGTGTCTATATCGGAGGTTACGTGAGGTTTGAAAGGAGGAGGAATCTGTGTATGTGATAAAATGTATTTATAAATCCTTCTTTAGTAATAATTTTTGTACCTTCTTTAGTTCAAGATCTCTCCAATTAATGCTGTCAAAGAAAGGGTGAGCCATAATTTGCTTGGCATCGTCTGGACCTCCACCTAACCTAAACAACCACAAAGGTGGTGTGAGACAATACAATTCAGAATAATGTAATTAAAGTACCTTTTAGTGGGATCTTTGATGAGTAGTCCTGAGAGCAAATTTCTAGCTTCCTCACTCAAGTTTTCTGGGAAATTTAACATCTGACATCAGAATCAGAGTAAAGAGCATGTCTAGATCTCTATTGTAAAAGGGCAATCGTCCGCACGTCATTTCGTACATGACGACGCCAATACCCCACCAATCTACTGCTCTTCCGTAGTCATTTCCTCCAAGACTTCAGGTGCAAGATATTCGGGAGTGCCTGAAATGTACCGACTATAAATTTTCCTATAAAATAATAATAAACATTAGATAATTTACCACAAAAACGTCCTTAGTAGTTCTTCCATATGTAATATCTTCCTTACACAAGCCAAAATCTATAATCTTAATGTGGCCAATCTTTGTCTAGGCAGTAAGTTCTCCAATTTCAAATCCCTGTATATAATGCCTTGAGAATGCAAATAAGCAAGGGCTGAAATTATTTCAGCACCATAAAATCTTGTTCGGTCTTCTGAGAATACTTTTTTCCCTTGATAAATGAAAATACAATTCGCCACCATTGACATATTCCATTACAAGGCATAATCGGTCGTTGGTTTGGAATGAGTACTTTAATGACTAAAATAAAATGTTTATCACCTGTCCCTGGTGCAAAATAAATCAACTTACAGTTAAAAATGCATGATTTGTAGTTCTTAATACTCTATTTTCAGTCTGAGTATGAGCAACTTCATCTTTCTGAATAATGAATTTTTTTTTGAGAATTTTTATGGCATACAAATGGCTGGTGGCCTTCTCTCTGCAAAGAAACACTTTTCCGAACGTTCCTTTTTCCCAACACTTTGATAAATTCAAAACATTCGAGGGTCACTTTTCTTTTTCCCGTCGACTTGGAAATTGATGTTTCTAAAGGCAATTGGGACCAGATATAAAATCAATAATATTACTGAGCTGTAAATTACCTTGTAATGAACACTTTTCCCACAAGTCAACCATCATATCAGGGTTAGTTGCATTATTCATTTTTACATCGTCACAATCATTTGATAATCTTTCAGACACAGATTTAATGGCTTGTACCCACTTTTCCCTACAATAAGTTATTAAAATATAAATATTATCTTTTGCTGAAGTTGCAAGTATTTCACCTTTCTTCTGCAGTTTCGACATGGAACATTCTCTCAATAACTGTAGTCCACTGTAAGCAACGTATAGCAAAAGTATACGGTTTTGGTCTGTCTATTGACATAATCTGACATTCTTTAACTGTAAAGTTGTTCAATGGGTCGCTGTAATAATCATCTGGTTTGTTTTTGAAGCCTGTCAATGCTCCATTATCGAACAACACAAAATATCTGGCTCTCCAATTTTTTATATACTTTCTTCTCTTGAATAACCATCCTTCTTTAACGATACATGCCTTAGAGCTAGAAGAAGCCCCAGGTCCCACTTCGACAGGATCCATCTTTCAACCTAAATCAAATCAAGTTTATTTGTTGTACTGTATACAGGGCCATTTTTTATGTTTTTCCACCCCCCTTAACTTTCTTGTGCCACTGTGTATAAAATAAAAAATGTAAACAGGAAAAGTGTAGCTTGAAAAATAGTTCAGTTTTGTTGATGCAGAAAGTTTAAAAAACAAAAAAATGTTTTTTTTTTGCAAATGAGACACCCTGTGTATATCATTAAATATTCGGATTCTACTTTGAATTCTGAGCAGATTTCAAGTGATATACACCAATTTGAAGTGAGATAGGTAATTGCGATATAATTTTTTAATATTCAATTTTTTTATTTTTCAGCTTTGCTCAACTTTGACTATAAAGCGGATCAAAATTAGTGGAAAACAACCCAGACGTCATTCCCAAATAGCCATTTTCAGCAGAAAAAAAAATTAAAAAGTTAATCCAATTTTTGGCTCTGGAAAACTTTCAAAATCTTAACACAGTCATGAGCAACTGCCTTAAGCTTTGTTAAATTTGAAGCGAATTCAAATAAATTATATATCACTGGAAAGAGCATTCAATTTTCTATAAATCTGTGCAAAATTGAAATCGATTGCTCAAATAGTTTTTGAGCAATTGAGCCTCAAAGTTGACTTTTAGTTTGAATTTTGTTAAAAACTTCAAACTCAATTTGCCTCGCAATTTGCTCAAAAACTATAAACCTGGGAATATTATAAATTACAGCGTGTTTAGAGCTTATTAAGAGCTACAAATGCTAAAAATTTCAATGCAATTTGTTCAACGGTTACTGAGCAATTAAGGTTTGAATATTTTGAAATCAGAATTCAGTTGGTTATTTAAAATAGAAAGTGGGTTCAATTGAAGGTTTACTTAATTTCTATCCTATATTTTTTGATTCTTGAAAACATAACTGACTTAATTAAAAATCCCTTAAACTAGCAAAATTTAATACCTTTCAGGTAGTCCAGCAGAATCAGATTGGGTCCCCCAGTACCAATTTTAAATATACCTAGGTACTACAATAATTGATAAAAGCCCAGAATAAACAAGCCAGTAAGCAGTAAGCTATACATGTTAGATCTGTCCACGATCAGAAAAATCATACCAGTGTTGCCACAGGCTCTGAAAATTTCGTGCCAGACTCTGAATTTAAAACGGGCCAGATTTCAGATTTTCGGGCAAACCCTCCACAAATGAAAAAGAAGAGGGAAAGCCCGCCGCCGGAGGCCGAAATTTTTTTCGGGTGCCACCCCCAAAAACACTTATTTTGCATACAAAAATAATGATTTGGCTTGTTATGGAGAAACGGGCCAGATTCGGAAAAGAGTGGCCAACGGGCCTCTCCGTCCTAGAAAAAGCCAGATCTGGCCATATGGGGGGTCAGTTAAGTTAGCCTCCCCCATATTTCCAAATCCATTAAAACTTATACCATTTTTTTGCACCCATTTTGCACCACCCGAAAAAAATTTTGCACCCCCTCAGGCGAGAGATTATATAGAAGTATTACTGGGGGGGGCCAAATTAACCATGCCCCCCCCCCCACACGCCGAATTTCAATTTATGATAGCATAAATTGTTCTCCGAGTTTCGCACCATTTTGCACCATAAATATTAAATTTTGCACCGCAACCTTTAGGCCTCTACAGGGGGTTGAAAGTTTTTTGTTCCAACACAGCTGAAAACCCTATACAATTTACCCTCGAATTTACCCAAGGATAATACACACTACACACGGATTGCTTATCGGCCTCTTTTTGGATTTCAAGGTCATCTGGTGTAGCACCAGACAGGCTGTTTGCGCCAGCGGTCGCAATTTAGGATATTAAAGCAGACGCCAGCAGAATTCTAGCCTGTGGTACAAACACCCTACGTCAAGGCAAGTCAAGGCGAGAAACGACACGCTACTACGTCCTCACCGATACTTTGGCACTATTTCTCTTTCAACCCCCTGTAGAGGTCTAAGGGTTGCGGTGCAAAATTTAATATTTATGGTGCAAGATGGTGTAAACTCGGAGAACAATTTATGCTATCATAAATTGAAATTCGGCGTGTGGGGGGGGCCATGGTTAATTTGCCCCCCCCCCCCCCCAGTAATACTTCTATAATCTCTCTCCTGAGGGGGTGCAAATTTTTTTTCGGGTGGTGCAAAACGGTGCAAAATGGGTGCAAAAAAGTGGTATAAGTTTTAATGGATTTGGAAATATGGGGGGGGGGGCTAACCTAACTGACCCCCATATGGGGCCACCTGTGGCAACACTGAGTCAAACCGTTTGAGGAGTCATTCTACCAGAGGTGCGGGACATTTCACGGTATTTTAAAGTTTTGGCGGGTTTTGGTAAAACATAAGAGTTTTTAATTGCAAAATTATTCCAGTAAAGAATTCTGTTGACAGAAATATGAAAATACATATGTATAATTTAGAATAAAAATCAGAAATTCTTTGGTAGGTACAACAGGGGCGTGCGGTCCATGGAAGCGGGGGAAGCACCGCTTCCCTAAACTTTTGAGTTTAGAGAGATAAAAAAATTACTATTTATTAATTTATAATGTATAGCAATTAACAATAATTTAATAATTATTTTCTCTGAAACATGACGTAAATGTATTAAAAGCTCATTGCGAAAACGTAAACGCAACCAATATTTGTCGCAACGCGTCGAACCCGGCCGGCCCAAGCTTGGAAGCGCGTCTGGAAATCGCTGCTGTTCGCTTTGAATCTTTGAAGAGGACGAATGGCTTATTGACCCTTTGGCTCCAGAGATGGCTCCATTTGTGCTACTGTGCATTTGTGCTAATCCGCAAGGGATCACCCCATTTGTGCTAATGTTCATTTGCTCTACCCACCCGAAGTCGCCTTCGGGCGGGAACGTCGGACGAGCCGAAGTCCGACCGGAGTATGACCCTCATCGAAACGAATGCAGTTGTTGTAGCGCAAATGGGTACAGCGTTGCCGTTCCCTCTCCATCTGGCGGGTATTTAAAATAGAAAATAGAATTCTATTTCGATATTTTTCAAGTATTGAGTGGGTGTGGTGTTTTGTTTACTTTAAAAATGGAAAATTTTAACTTTTAATATTTTATTGGTTAAATATTAATTTATTTTAACCTTCCATCGCGAGTTTTATAACATCATTAGTCACGCTGTATCACAGAGATACATATACTAAATCATTGATAAAAAAATTGAACCATCTGATGAATTTCGGTTTTACAATTTCTATGTATTGATTCGGGTACTCAACAATCAAAGATAGAACATTTTCACTGAGAAAGAGATTCCAGAAGTTGAATTCTATTTTCGCTATCTTAATGTTTCGAGCGCGCTCGGACTGCTCGGAGTTTACCGAGTGTAAAGCCACTGTGTGCAGAAGCTAGTTTCTGGATAGGAATTAGCAAATAAGCTATCCAAGTGCTCCTAAATAGTCGAAGAAGAACAGTCATTCAGATTTTTTTCATTACCAGGAATCACCTTTTCTACATTTAAAATCGATGAAGAAACAAGCACAACCTGAATCGCAAGCATCCCATCGAGGCTTGCGGGTGACGTCACCACTATAAGAGGCTATGCTGCTAATAGTACTAACGTCACTCGCAGGCCTTGCCGACTCGAGAATTGGCGAACGTACGCCTTATAAGGAAAAGCAATCCTATAGTTTATGATTCTTGCTATGCAAGTGTTTCCAAATAGTCAAAAAAAATTTGATCAGTTAATCATTAAACTAAATAGAGATTTTTTCTCATTATTAGGAAATGGAAATTGTTGGCTTCACGTTTAACTAGTTGGTGGTTAAAAGCTAAATTTTTTCTGGATAGGACTTAGGTGCTCAAGTGCTCCTAAATAGTCAAAGAAAAACATGAATTAGTTATATTATTTGAATTATAGATTTTTTTTGTATTATTATAGGGAACTGAACTACTGGCCTTACGTTTACTTGGGGGTGTAAATATTTGCAGCGAAACTGATAACACTGATAACAGTGGCTATAATGTTGTAATAATTGGAATTAGGTGCTATCTTAGTGCTCCTGAATAGTCGAAGAAAAACTTGAACTATCTAAAACTTCAACTTTTTGGGAGCACTTAAATAGCACCAAATTCCAATACAACATTTTAGTCGCAGTTTTCAGATTCGCTGCAATGCAAATACATCCCCAAGTAAATGTAAAGCCAGCAATTCCTTAATGAAAAAAAAATTTGTACTTCAGTTTAATAATTAACTGATTCAAGTTTTTCTTCAAATATTGAGAAGCACTTAAATAGCACTAATTCCTATCCATAAACATTTTAGCTCTGACACACCACCAACTGAACGTGAAGCCAATAATTTGCCAATAATGAAAAAAAACTGTAATTCAGTTAATAATTAACAGATTCAAGTGTTTCTTTGACAATTTAGGAGCACTTAAATAGTAGGTACCTAAATTCAATCCAAAAACATTTCAGCCTTTAACGGTTTAACGGCCAATTTCATGATAGAGAATTAAAAGTTATTTTAGCTAAATAGACTTTTTGGATGGGATTTTTCTACTTCAAATGGACCTTTATATTTAAAGTTTACTTAAAGTTGATTATGAAATTGGCTGTAAGCCTCTAAAACACCCCCAATAAGTAAACGTGAATCCAGGAATTTCCTAATATTGAAAAAAAATCTGTAATTCAGTTAATAATTAACTGATTCAATTTTTTCTTTGACCAGGTATTTAGGAGAACTTTAAAAAGCATATTATCTAAATTCTGATACCAAAGAAAAATTTAAAAAAATATTTTTCACTACAGAGGGGACT